AAGAATTTATAATATGAGCTGAATCCACTACTGGAAAGGAAACCTACGAGAAAATGAAGAAAGAGCTAAAGAGATCATGTTTACCAGAAAACTACCTTTAAGCCAACTTCCTGAAACTTCTACAAAATGGAAATCATACTATCGAGGAATATACTGAAGAATCTGATCTCTTAACCATGAGGTGCGGACTCATCAAAGAAGAAGAACACATAGTTGCATGTTATCTTGGAGGGATGCATAGAGAAATTCATGATATGGTGGTTTTGCAACAATACTGGAGTTATGATGATGTCTTCAAGTTAGCCATACAAATAAAGAAGCAGATGAAGACATGGTCAAGGCGTATTGGATGACTAAAGGCTCACAAAATTCAGAACCAGGGAAGCATGAAGCACCTACGACCAATGCACCAAAGAAATTTACTGCCAGCAAACCGAAGGGGATCAAGTGTTTCAAATGTTCCGGCACAGGACATATTGCTTATGAATGTCCTAACATAAAAATTGTAAGTTTGGTTGAGGAATTGGGCGAAACGAGCAGTGTATCAAAAGAGATGCTCCCCATATTTGATGATTGTAGGGACAATGAAGAAGAAGAGATCACATGGAGTGACCATGGAGAGTCCTTGGTGATTTGAAGGGTCATGAATTCTACCAAGGTGGAGGAGAACCCGAATTGGCTTATGGATAATATATTCCATACCAAGTGCACCTCTATTAGAAAGTTATGTAGCGTTATTATTGATAGTGGTAGTTGTGAAAACATAATTTTACAGGATTTGGTTGATAAATTGAATTTGAAGACTAAAAAGAAGCCAATCCCTTATAAGTTGTCTTGGGTCAAGAAAGGGAACGAAGTCGTGGTGAATCAACGTTGCCTAATGACATTCTCCATCAGGCAAAAGTATCAAGACTCTCAATGGTGTGATTTAATTCCAATGGATGCTTGCCACATACTATTTTGAGACCTTGGCAATTTGTTCGCAAGGCCACACATGATGGATACAAAAATACATATACCTTCATCAAAGATGGTATGAAGGTTATTTTAGGCCCCTCCCAATATGAATTTAATTCCAAATCCACAAAAATTGGTGCTAGAAGCTTTTTAACCAAAGGAAAATTCCTAAAAGGGGTGGAGGAGAGTGGCAATATGTACATGTTGATGGTGAAAGAGGCAAATCTAGAAATTCTTAATTTTCCTGAGGAAGTAACATCTATTTTGCAGGATGTTAATGATGTTATTCCTGAAGAACTACCCTTTGGATTACCTCCTATGCGAGACATCCAACATTGTATAGATTTGATTCCAGGTTCAACTCTCCCAAATAAACCTCATTATCGGATAAGCCCATTAGACTACGAGGAGCTGAACAGGCAAGTGATAGAATTGTTGACAGAGAAGTGATCCAAGAGAGCATGAGCCCATGTGCAGTACCTGCATTGCTTGCACACAAAAAAAAGAAAAGAAAAAAAGAAGGGACTTGGCGTATTTGCGTCGACAATCGGGCAATAAACAAGTACATATTTCCAATCCCTTGTCTAGATGATATGCTAGACCATTTGTCGGGAGCAATAATATTTTCCAAAATAGACTTGAGGAGTGGATACCACCAAATACAAATGAGGCTTGGTGACAAATGGAAGACATCCTTTAAAACTTGGGATGGTTTATTTGAATGGTTGATGATACCACCTAGATTGACCAATGCTCCTAGCGCATTTATGAGACTCATGAACCAAGTATCCCGTCCTTTATTGGGAAGTTTGTAGTTGTTTACTTTGACGATATTCTGGTTTATAGTCTTGATGTTGTTCAACACCTAGAGCACTTGAGACAATTTTTTGAAGTTTTACCGGAGCAGCAACTCTTCGCCAATTTTAAGAAGTGTGAATTTTTTACTGATAGTTTAATTTTTCTTGGCTATGTGATATGAGCAGGTGGTATTATAATGGAAAAAAAAATTTTGAAGCAATACAAGGGTGGCCTATACCACAATTTGTCCATGATGTGCGAAGTTTCATGGCTTAGCTTCATTCTACCGAAGATTTATCAGAAATTTTAGTTCTATTATTGTAACACCCCGACTCCGTTTATTTTCCTATTTAATTTAATTAAGGGAAAATATTAATTATTCCTGGGTTAAGGGTGATTTTGGTCACTTTCTTATCCGGGAAGATTTTGGGACCGTGAGTGGTGTGGTTGCGTAGGTGGTACTGAGACGAAACCGTAGACAGGCGGTAGGCCTGAATCGGAGGTTTAACGAAGTTTTGGCGATCAAAACTTGTTCGGTGGCAGAACCGTAAATTTTCCGAAGGGTTTAGTAAAAATCAGATTTTCAGTTTTTACCCCTCACTTTCTCTCTCTTCCTCCCGCGTCTTCCCCTTCCTTGCGATTCTCCCCTCCCCCGTCAACTTTCA